ATGTCCATCCATTCATCCCTATTATCCATCCATCCATCCATCCATCCATCCATCCATCCATCCATCCATCTATCTAATCTATCAAACATCTGTCTGCCTGTGTCTAACTATATCTATCTCCTCTATCATCTATGTCCATCCATTCATCCCTATTATCCATCCATCCATCCATCCATCCATCCATCCATCCATCCATCCATCCATCCATCTATCTAATCTATCAAACATCTGTCTGCCTGTGTCTAACTATATCTATCTCCTCTATCATCTGTCTACATCCATCCATCCATATCTATTTATTTATCTATCTATCTCTCCCTCTCCATCCATCCATCTATTTAATCATCTATCTCCCTCCCTCCCTCCTATCCATTTTATAGACAGTGTCTATCTATTTGTCTGCCTGTCTATTAATTTTCTATAAATGAGGCTCAAGGGGCTCCCAGTGTCCCTGATTGCCACCTGTCCCCTGAACAGTTAAAGAATTGCCTTACCAATTGCGATGGATCTCAAATAAAGCTTCTCAGCGTTTTCGTACTGATTCATGTCGTAGTTGTAGAGTGAGGCGAGGTGTCCCACCGAAAGAGCGACTTCGTAATCTTCTTGACCAAGCAGCTGCTCCTTGATCTGAATTGCTTTGATGTGCATCTCTTCTGCTTCCTGCAATAGCCAAAAATATTAAGGCACTGACTTAGGAGTCGTCGTGGCTATTTTTTTTCATCCAACCCAAGGAAGTGTCTCTGCCTGCTTGAGAATACAAGCTGATGTTCTTAAAAATCTAAAACAAAATGCCAAGCTTAAAACTTTTTAGACAAGTGGGTGCATGAGGGAATCAGCTGAACAAAGAATTTTGAGATTGAGTGAGATAATTTGGGAGAGATGGTGGAGTGGCTGAATTTGAACCTGCTGCATTCTGGCTGTGAACATCTGTGAAACTTTACTCTATTCTTGGGAATGCTGAAAAAGGTGCTTGTCTAAATTAAGCATTGGGATGGAGAGAAGGAAGGAGACATTCCTTCCTAGACATTCCCATGACGGCTACTATTTCTTCCAATCAAGACTTTTTTTAATAGCTTTAACAACTTCTTCACTTTTTAAATTTTTCAACAACTTTAATAACTTTTTAACAATGTAATGCTGTTTCAGTAATACACCTGCCTTCCTTCTATATATAGTCCTCGACTTACAACCATTCGTTTAGTGACCGTTCGAAGTCATAATGGCACTGAAAAACCATTTTTCTCTTACAACTGGCATGTCTCAATGAACAAAAGAAATGTTGGGCTCAATCGTTGTCATAAGTCGAGGACTACCTGTAATAGAGCACGTTGTTAATGGACTTATCTAGTACCATATTAACAGGACTGATTTATTTTAGAGCNCCCGTGTACATGCTTGTGTGTACGTGTTTGTTAACCACACACACACATTACACACGCACGCACCTTGAACCCAAACAAAATATGCTGTGCTCATGCTCGTGCATTTAAGCACATGTCCGGCTCACGGTCACTCCATCAAAAGTTGATGTCATCCCCCAAATGGGGATTTTTTTTTTTTAATGGACTGGACCAGTGTTCCAATGTAAATTTTTTTTTTTTAAACAGCTCCGGGAAAGGAGGGGAAAAAGAAAAAAAAAATGAAATAAGGTTTCGAATTTCACAGTATGACTTTTCCCGTGTAAACCTGGGGGGAAAACGAAGAAAGAAAGAAATATTGGTAGAATTGACCAAGTTCCTTAGCAAATGGGTCCTTCGACGGTCTGAGACATCAGGAAAGACTGGACAACTTGTTCAGTTGATTGAGGACTGGTGCTTACATCCTCCAGGGCATCTGTGACTGAAAACTGCCGATCCCGCAATCGGTTCCAGTTGGCTAAGATGTTGTGGTATTCAAATACTTTCTCGTAATTGCCAATGGAGTTGTACAGTTTAATGAGGCCCCTGTAGTCATATTCTAGTCCGCTGTAACCTTCCCCAAACAGCTTTTTTCCTAAGACAACAAAATTGGAAAACCAAGAACAATATTAAAGTCTGCCATATTAAAGCGTGATTTCCGCCTTTTAAAATTATAGATGAAACAGAATTTTAAAAAAAGCTAGAACATTTTTTGGGGGAGTATGAATAATTGGTTCTAGAAATGGACCTCTACATTCTTCCAAGGAAGTTTGGACTTACAAACAGAATAATCCACCGGGGTGTGTGTGGTGGTGGTTGTAGAGATCCTGGAAGAACTCCAAAGTTTTTTTTTTCTGGGAAATGTCATCATCTCCAATGAACACAAAAAAGCTTAACTGTTTGCTCCAAACCCTCTATTATTCTTCCTGGTTTCTTTCTTCAAAGGGAATTTACATTAACTAATTTACCTTAATTACATCCAATGATTAATCAGTTAATAATGGGGGTCTAAATTATAAATCTGGGATCTGACTTTAAATGCTTTAAAACACAATGACCAGGAGAAGTTAAGTGGTCAGGAGGATCTCACAACAGGCTTCCTTCAACTGGCTAATAAAATAATCAATCTGTGTGTGTGTCTGTCTGTCTGTCTATCACTTGTCTGCTTGTCTCTCTCTCTCTCTCTCTCTCTCTCTCTCTCTATATATATATATATATATATATATATATATATATATATATATATCTCTA